ACTACACCAAGAATGTACCTTCCATGGTCCTTCTAGTGAATGACTGCCTTCGATATTGAGCTCTGGTCTTCCACCAACACCTACTACACCAAGAATGTACCTTCCATGGTCCTTCTAGTGAATGACTGCCTTCGATATTGAGCTCTGGTCTTCCACCAACACCTGTCATACTGTAACCAAAGCATAGCTTTTTCAGTTCTGTCTTACAATAAAGGAATGCTATAKTGGTATAAGTCGGTGTTTTCACTGAAACAATCCTTATAAAACTATCTTATACGAAGCAGCACGCGATGTGGTTACTCCTTCTCTACATTAAACAATTGGAACTCGATCAAGTATGATGTGAAAGTTTTCCATGTGAAGAAGATAACACCTTCAAATTCAGAAACAGCCTATATAGTTTCGAACTTAAAGCACTGTGATCGTTATGCTTGCAATTGTGTCAATGTCTTCCTTGTGACGCACTCACGTTGCGCACATTGGGATAATTGAATGTGAAACCGTTGAAAGACAATAACTGTAGKATGATTGTTAGTCGCCTTCAGAGTCTACCCTTAAGTCGGGCTTCACTCCATCCCCTCCCCCTCCCCCTCCCCCCCCCCCCCCCCCCCCCCCAAAAAAAAGGAGGAACATTGTCAGCAACTTCAGGCAAAAGGGTAGGCTGTAAAGGACATAACGACGAAGAACGATTAAAAGTTCTTTATGACGTAACGTATACATGAACTTACCGTCTAAAGAGCCCATAAGCATGAACTAGTTCCAGGTAGTCCACCTTACTTTTAATTCGTTTAATAACAGGCCAAACTTTTTGCTGTGTTGTGTAATCAATGTCTGTGTACGGGACCTTTCCATAGAACAATTATCCCATCAATATTTGACCGTCACCATCATCACCACCACCACCATCACCATCATCACCACCACCATCACCACCACCACCATCACCACCACCACCACCAGCACCACCATCACCACCACCACCACCACTATCACCATCACCACCATCACCACCATTATCACCATCACCACCACCATCACCTCCACCATCACCACCACCACCACCATCACCACCACCACCACCATCACCACCACCACCATCACCACCACCACCATCACCACCACCACCATCATCAGCACCACCACCACCATCACCATCACCACCACTATCACCACCACCACCATCATCACCATCACCACCATCACCACCACCACCATCATCACCACTACCATCACCAACACCATCACCATAACAGCTGGAAATTCGAGCAAAACTTAAAAGTACAATATATAATAAAATAGCATTATTTCATAAAAAACACATTGTATTATATGGTAAAAAAAAA